CCGCGTTCATGCCAGAGAATGAAGCTGCGATCGCGGCTGGTGTTATGAATGGAATTGATGGTGGTGTTGGTTTTGACGTGGGTGTGGCTGCTCTTGGTCCTGGTGCGTCCCCGTTTTCCATTGGTTCGACCGATAAGTCCGTCGACATCAACCGCTTCCACCATTCCCTTGCCCACGCTTGTGAACCCCTTTTGAGAGAAACTGCCGGGGCATCACTCTCACGGGAACGTTGGAACCTTGCTCGGACTGCATGAAGGCGAAGGGCAAGAGGGCGTCGGTGCCGAAGGGGCCGGGAGCGCGGGCGTCGAAGCCACTCGGGCGTGTTCACGTGGACCTGTGTGGACCGTTGGCGCCTTCCCTGGGCGGCAACCTCTACCTGTTCGTCGCGCTCGACAGCGCCTCTCGGTGGAACAAGGTCTACGGTCTCCGGCGGAAGTCCGACGCGCTGGCGGCTACGAAACGGCTGCTGGCGGACGTGGGGCGGTACGACCTCGGTCGCATCGAGTGCTTCCGGATCGACAACGGCACCGAGTGGACCCGGGGCGAGTTTCGGCGTTTCTGCGACGAGAACGGCATCGGCGTCGAGTTCACCCCGCCTGGCGTCCCGCAGTACAACGGCGTCGTCGAGAGCGCCATCTGGCGCATCATGAAAGCCGGCATGGCCGCTCGCCGCAGCGCTGCCCGTGTGCTCAACGTCGACTACGCCTCCATCACCGACCTCGACCCGCGCGGTGACCGTTTTTGGTTGGAATCTGCGAAGTGGGCCGCCGACGCTCTCAACCAGTCGGCGACCAAGACTAACCCCGGGCGTCGTTCTCCGCACGAGCCATTCACCGGTCAGCAGGGGCCGTTCCGCGTGCTGCCGTTCTTCCAGCCCAGCTACATGCGTGAGGATCGCCGCACCAAGCTCGACGACCAGGCCACCCTGTGCTATTACCTGAACGGCGGCGACAACCACCCGAGCGGCACCGTCAAGGTCCTCAAGGCGTCCACCGGCCGCGTCGTCTACACCAACAACGTGTCGTGGGTGACGTCGGCGCCAGCCGGCGAGGGGGGTTCCGCTGGTATCCCCGCTGCGCCGACGCCTCCCCCGTTCACGCCGGTCGTCTCGATCAACTTCGGCCCAGCCCCGACGCCTTCGACCGCCGCACAGCCGCCGCCAGCGCCCACGCCCACGCCGTCGCCCGCACCCGCTCCTGGCCAGCCGCCCTCTGTCGCTTCGCCGTCATCGTCGGCGACCCCCGCTCCTGGCCAGACTCCCTCTGCCGCTTCGCCGTCATCGTCGGCGACCCCCGCTCCTAGCCAGACCNTCCACCGGCCGCGTCGTCTACACCAACAACGTGTCGTGGTTGACGTCGGCGCCAGCTGGCGAGGGGGGTTCCGCTGGTATCCCCGCTGCGCCGACGCCTCCCCCATTCACGCCGGTCGTCTCGATCAACTTCGGCCCAGCCCCGACGCCTTCGACCGCCGCACAGCCGCCGCCAGCGCCCACGCCCACGCCGTCGCCCGCACCCGCTCCTGGCCAGCCGCCCTCTGTCGCTTCGCCGTCATCGTCGGCGACCCCCGCTCCTGGCCAGACTCCTTCTGCCGCATCGCCGTCACCGTCGGCGACCCCATCTCCAGTTCAGCTACCGCCGTTGCCGCCGCCGCCGCCGCCGCCGGGCCCCGCGTTGCCCCCGCTCTCGGCTCACGCCATGCGGCAGCTTCGCCCGGGCAAGAAGGCCGAGGGTATGAAGGACCCGCGGCTGCCAGGCCGCACGAGATCGGGCACGAGGCACAGCACAGGGCTCATCTCGATGCTGGACAAGAACACTCTGGTATCGATGCTGGAGGCCCAGAGCGCGGTGGAGGAGGAGCGCAGGGAGCCGGGGGGAGCGGGGACCGGAGAGCCGGGGGGAGCTGAGACCGGAGAGCAGGGGGGAGCGCTCGCAGCCGTGGACCTGGGGGCTGGAGGAGCGGGCTTACCACTTGCATGTGCCACGCTCCTCGCCAACCGGGAAGACATCGATGCCATGCTGCGCGACCAGCGCCCGCCGGAGCAACGCCCTGATCTTCCGCACTGCCAGGCGAGCGACCTTCGCATCCCCAAGAGCTACAACGGGGCTATGGCGTCGGAGTACCGGCACCTCTGGGACGACTCGATGAAAAGGGAGTATTTTGGGTTGNTATTTTGGGTTACTGGAAGCGGGGACTTTTACTCCGGCGAAGTAGCAATCAGTGCAGAACGCGATAAACGCGAAGTGGGTATTCAATTGGAAGGCAGATGAGTTTGGATGGGCCACTAAGGTCAAGGCGAGACTTGTAGCGAGAGGTGATATGCAGAGAGAGTACATTGACTTTGGAGAGTTGTACGGGCCGACCGTTTCTGTTTCGTGTGTCAGGATGTTGGCAGAGTTGGCGTGCGAGTCGAACCTCGCCTTGTGTCATTTCGATATTGAGCAAGCTTTTGTGCGTTCGGAGTTGGAAGAAGACGTATACATGCGATTGCCGCAGGGATGTGGAGCTCTATCTGGAACGATTGTAAAACTAGGCAAGAGTCTGTATGGCTTGAGACAGGCATCTAGGCAGTGGTATGCAATGCTGAAGAGGTGTTTGGTTGCGTTGGGATTTGAGCAGTGCATGGCCGATGCTTGTGTGTTTCGATTGATTGAAGGGGGGTGTGTGGTTCTGACTTTGGTACAGTGGGTGGCCCGATATAGTGCCGGTTGAATAGTGCCGGTTGCCGGTATAGTGCCGGTGTTTTCGGCTCGCACACACCGGAATATCAAGTCTTTCTGTACTCTGAAAAGTGCCGGTGCCCGGTATAGTGCCGCTTTGCTCTCTGAACACATACCGGCACTATAGAGGGCCCCCTACTGTAGTCCATGTAGATGATATTTTTGCTGTGGGAGAGTGGGAGAGATGTGGCAAGTTTGGCACCGACCTTAACAAGTCCGTGCCGGTGAAGAACCTGGGAGAGTTGAGATGGTATTCTGGGTGCTTTTACGCGAGAAGCAAGGAGACTGGTACAGTGCCGGAAAGTGTGAGCCCGAATACGGGTGCTTTGAAAAAAAAAAGAACCTTCTTCAACAAATTGAGCGGAACCAAAATATTCGTGAGAAAGCTCTCGCCAGCAGCGATCGAATAAGCCTATCCACAGCGCGGGGTTTTCGTTTTTGAGAAAGATATGGCTCCTTTACCATCAATGCAGAAGGCACTTCATCCCACAAGAATCGCCATGTCTCAACAACTACGGCGAACCCCGCAAAAAAAATTGCAGATTTGCAAAGCTCTCTTTCAGAAGTATTTTACTGCGGCAGAACCATACCCGAGCGTGGTGAAGAAGAACTTAAAAAAAAATCAAAATCCTGTGAACAAAAAAAAGAAGCATTTCTCCAGATTCTTCACCTTGAATTTTTGTCGTGGGGCAATATGATGATAACTCAAGGAGTAATTGAGCAATTCTGGAAAAGATTACAGGAAAATGACCGTTAGTGTTACATGTATATAAGGACACATGTCCACCCAGCGGTTCTAGTTTGTTTTCGTGTGTAATGGCATAGATGTCGTTCGCGCCGACGCCCACAGGTCTGACACCCCAGTTCGAGTCCAGCAAGCATTCTCTCTAGTCTTTTTTTCCTGATCATATTTGTGTTTTATGTTAATTTTTCCATACGTTTATCTTGAAAAATGTATGCAATTTTCTTCGACCTCATCAAAAAAAATTTGGTCACCGCGTCTTGTCGGTGCCATCACGGGCAATACGCACGTGAAAATAGTGTCGAAAACCATGACTTTAGTCAAAAGTTATGGCCGGTCAACCAAAATCGGTCTCACACTTTCCGGCACTGTAGGCTGACGATTTCTCAGCAGACTTTCACGGATGAGCTAGCAGCAGAGTATGGAATAGCAGGGGGTAAGAGCGTTCGCATGTCTTCGGGGGTCAAGCGTTCTGACTTTGATGCGGATGAAGAGGCGACAGATTTTCCGTTTCGTGAGCTAGTAGGATCTTTGATGTGGCTGGCGACTCAGACTATTCTAGGCCAGATATTGCGAATAATGCAGTAAGGGCAGTGGCTAGATATTGCGCGTCTCCGAAGCAGGTGCACTGGGATGCAGCGATGGGTATATTAGGGTAGATGCGAAGGGGACGAGTTACATGGGTGTTTCATTTCAGAGAGGTACGGTAGAAGGATTCAGCTTGCAGGGGTACGCTAATGCGGACTTTGCGAGCAAGGCAGCAGACCGTAGGTCGGTATCAGGGGGGATAGTAACATGCGGAGGAGGCGCTGTGTCTTGGTTTTCCAGAAAGCAGAAGTGCGTTACGCTTTCGTCAACAAAAGCAGCGTATGTCGCGCTTGGCGATGGANGCGTCTCCGAAGCAGGTGCACTGGGATGCAGCGATGGGTATATTAGGGTAGATGCGAAGGGGACGAGTTACATGGGTGTTTCATTTCAGAGAGGTACGGTAGAAGGATTCAGCTTGCAGGGGTACGCTAATGCGGACTTTGCGAGCAAGGCAGCAGACCGTAGGTCGGTATCAGGGGGGATAGTAACATGCGGAGGAGGCGCTGTGTCTTGGTTTTCCAGAAAGCAGAAGTGCGTTACGCTTTCGTCAACAAAAGCAGCGTATGTCGCGCTTGGCGATGGAGAAGGAGATTTTGTTTTTGAGGCAGGTTTGGCGATTTATGTTGCCGAAGGTCAGCATACCGTGCATCCCAGTCTTTGAGGACAACCAGGGGGCGATTCAACTAGTGCAGAACCCCATCTCGAACTCGAAGCACATTGATGTAAGGCACCATTTTCTCAAGGGAATTGGTAGAGACGAAGGAGATTTCGGTGATCCACGTGCCGTCTCCGTACCAGCGTGCAGACTTTCTTACGAAGAGTTTGCCCAAGGATGCGTTCGAGTCTCACCGTGATTTTGTAGTCTAATGAATTCGGCATGAAATTTTATTATTTTTCTGATGAGTTGGTTTGGCTTTCGATTTGATTGTTTTGCTTTCCCCGCTAAGTTCATATAACGCGCGATGCAGCAGTATTCATGTTTCTTGGAGTTGGTTTTCGTTTCTTATATTTTGGAATTTATCTTGATGGCAAATATTCAGGAAAAGACGTCTTTTGGTTGAGATATCCGGTATTATTTCGAAATTTGCAGTGAAGATACTGTTGCGAGCGGGGGGGATGTTAGATATACTCGCAGCAGTCTCTAGACGTGAGGATCCTGGGGGATACGTGTTGGGAATTCCGTATGTTGATGGGTACCGCCGATGCAGATACGGGGACCCTTTTGACCTTGGTTGCGGTGTTGAAGGCTCGCGCATGTAGCGCACTGCTTTCTTCGCTCTCTCCACCGCTACCGCCGTCTCTCTCCAATCAAGTTTCCTTCTCCAACGCTTTCTCCAACGCCAACGCCATATCTTATCTCTACCTCTCTCGGCCTAACACGGCCGACTACCCACTGCCCCAAGAGATGCCCAACACGGGCTTGCTGCACCCCGCGTAGTTTATCTTTCAAAATGGACCTTTCTAGCGTTCGGTGTTTCTTCGTTGTTCGCATATAGCCTGGGCGACGGGCGGGAGGGGGGGGGTGCAAGGGGGGATGAGAATGCGGGCAAGCTCCATACGACGTGTAGGCCTTGCATGTGAACGCAGACGGATAACGTAGTTTGTTTGCGACCCATCTTCCTGACAACGTACTGCTGTAATGGTGAAGTTGCCAGGCTGCAGCAATAATACTCGCACCAGGAGAAACTATTAATATTTTCTGTTTTTTGAGGTAACCCAACACCGACTGTATGTATGGTTTTTGGGTAACTTTCTTATTATCTGCATTGTTTGAGTGGTGCGTAAACTGTCGGCTATTGTTTTGTAGGAATCATCCTGACTGGAACATCCGTCTGTCCGTGTAAAGCGTAGAGAAACAACCAATAATAATATGGAAAATGTGATTTGGTGAATCACTGGGGGCAGACGTCTACTTTTTCTGCTTTTTTCGAGATCATCGTGGATGCACGGTCCGCTGTTGTTCAAGACATCAGTGCACACACGCAACACTTTTTTTCAAGGATTCAAGTTAAGTCGTGCGTGTTTCCCCTGCCGACACCATCTCAGTCTCATCGGAACCTGTGCGTGGGTCCATTTGCCGGTCGGAGACACGCAGCGCCGAACAAGTTATCCCTGGAACCTCAATTGAATCAATGTGGTGATGCTTTCGCCCCCATCTACCCTGGGGGCGCCAGTCTACACCTCGGCAAAATATTCGCCGTAAAACAGAAGTCTCTCGCACCATGAATCGGATACTATTATCAAGATATTTCCTATGTTGCGAAACGAACTCGGATCTTGGGTCGCTTCAAACCATGTGCCAAGCACTCCTCTATATTACGTTGTAAAACGGTAGCTAGCAAAGAGTACGAATCGCTCCCAGCGACAACTTGTTGGGCTATCGCGCTTCATCGTGTCCATCTCCCCCCCTAACCCTCAATCCGACCGGCCTTTCTACCTCCACGTGCGGGACTTTCATTGTGCGGAGGAACAAGCACGCGTCTAGCACCCACACCACCGAGCAACTCCCACAGTGCTTCCTTTAAGCCTACCCCTTCGAACAGGAAAACAGACAAAACCAACAAGATTACGAAGAAACTTACCGGGAAAACTAGCTGCGTTAGCGCGCCATCTCCAGGAAATATGTAAATGACACGTGCTTGCAAAAAGTTAAATCATGACCACTACAACAAAAGCTGTGCGTTCACCTTGAAGAGGAGGGAGAAGGAAGGACAAGACAAACTGGATGGGGGCCGCTACAGCAGTCTTTAGTTTGAAACGCAAAGACAAAAATAACAATGCCAGCGACAAAACGACAGACAAGCGACGACACCGATCGACAACAACGACGGTAACAGTAATGACGACATCATCATTGACAACAACAAAACAGCGGCGACAGCATTGAAAAGCTAAAAACAATCAAGATAAAAATAATCAACATCACTACTGAGGAAGATATCAGCAGTATCAACCCCTCACTTGCGTTGAAAAACTACAACCAAGATCAACACGATCAACATTATTATTGAGGAAGATATCCGTACCAAGCCCGACGTGCCTCTAAGATACCTAGCAAGCACACCTTGCTTACCTAGCGTTCGTTGCACCATTTCACCCTATAGCCCAAGACACGCGACACGAAGACAACAGAAAGGGCAACACTTCAGACAAAAAAAAAACGCGTTTTTAAGAACCACCTGAATGACCCGAATGTCCATCGCCGTCACACATGCACTCTTGGAAGGAACGAGAAGAAGAGTTATCAAGCTGTGAACCTCGACGAAAGCATGGATAGTAATGTACAACAATCCTTAACGACAGTTACTTTTTTCGGCTCAGAAGAATGGAGCTGCGCGTGAAGATAGAAGCTGAAGGGATACAGTATTCGGTAAACCATTTTTAGAATGAAGCATAGCCCCGGTGATGACTCCATGGACAAGAGCATCCTGTCCTCTGAATCACGGAACGGCGTCGTCATAATCGTGAAAAAGAAACCGGCGTGCTAAAAAACACACTCTTCGTGCCGAACCAATTCGCGTGCCCATGGCAAAAATCGAACACGCGAGTAGTCAAAAACTCACAGAAATCCCAGCCACACTCGACCACCACTGTGTCTAACGCCGCCACCACTATGATCGATCGAGACAAGAACGAGGAAACCAACAACATGACCGACTCAAACGGATGAACCACCCGACCGACCCAACACCGCTCGTTCGTTCGTTGCGGAGAACGCCCACTACGACTCGAGAAGAAAAAAGAACGAAATGAAACTATAACGTACCTACATGCATCATGTAAACTGTTGCACCCCCTACCGTATGATACATAGATGCATTTTGGTGTTGCACTGCTTTTGCCATGTTCCTTGCCTTTATCCACTACACTACACCCTACGTGATCTTCGCCGGCGGCATGCGCCAAACAAGCCTGCCTCCAAAACACACCCACCCGCCCGCCGCCGCTGACTCCTTCTTTTCGTGACCGCTGCATGCAGGTTAGCATACTCTTCTATTCCTCGTACATAAATTTTCCTCCATACGCTAGCGCATAGTTCTAGGAGCACAGGACAAGGAAAGTGACCTTGAAATACACTCGCCCATCCATGAAACTTACCACGACGTACAATTTATGCGATCACCCAGACCGACCGGTATTACACCTATATAGGACAGACACCGAGAGAAGCAATGAATTTGTAATAACGGCATTTTCCCGAAACGGGCGGGCGCCCATCCGCTGCTCATGCACGCGCTGGCCACGATTATCGTCCCGCGTGAAGTTAAAAGCACACACCCATTGTATTCGTTATTTGCTAAAAACCCACAGAAAAAAATTGTAATAAAAAAAAACGGAAGTATGTTGAGAAAGTGTGGCCTATACCATAGTACAAATGAATGCACTGCACTATGCAGCTCTGCTGGTTCGTCCACCGTTGGTTGCCTTACGATTCTGAGAGCAGTCCAACAGGTCTTCTTGCAGTTCGCATCGACTGAACGCTACTGCCACTCCAGATAGGCTCCCTGAATGCCTCAAAATTAGGTGCGAAACTTCGCACTCGGATACAGGTACGCCTAAAACGTCTCGAGTGACGACCGAACTCTCTAAAAAAGTAGAGCAGGCAACGGGACACCAGACACTCGAGAATAAACCTCGCTGATTTTCTCTCACACGTACATCCCGCCCTACAACTGACGTCTTTTCATTGGTCAGCCGGTTGGCGCGGTCGACGCTATTCAAAGAACATACGCACAGGCCCACAACAAAACCCAACACCCAAACCGTAACAACACGCGCGGGGGTTGTCGAGCACCCGCGGCTGTCGACTCGCTCGGTGCGCTTATCGCCTGGTTAGTAAACCGAACGCGCCCTCCCGATTTTACCGGAATGTGAGGGTCCATGATCGTTGGAGGACTACGGCAAGGTCAGCTACGCCCTCCACTTCCCCCCAAAACAAATGGCCATCTCGTCAAGGTCAAGGTACTTGCTGTTAAAGAAAGGTGAAACGAAGAAGAAGGGTGGCATTTCAGTGCTGCCACAATTAGAACGTCCAGACGTTTTCCTAGTAGTTCTGCTCACGCAGGTGATACACACCCGATACTTGAAGACCGGCGGGACACTGCCAAGCCACCCTCCTCCACCCAAGATGAACAATTGCTACATTATCCCAGTTTTCCAGAGATACATAACAAAGAATGCTAACAGGTTTGAACAAAAGCCTCATGAACGACTATCCGGCGCTCCTCCCCCCCCCCCCCCCCCCCCCCCCCCCCCCCCCCCCCCCCCCCCCCCCCCCCCCCCC